CTGCTGCTGCTGCTGCTGCTGCTGTTGCATCAGCTGGGGTTGGGAGGCTCCGGGAATCATGGGCGGCGGCGAAATTGCTGCCGCCAGACCGCCGACGCTTTGTTGCTGCGGTTGGCCATGCTGGTGTCCCTGCTGCTGCTGCTGCAGCTGCTGTTGTTGTTGTCGCTGTTGCTGCTGCCGCTGCCTGTTTTGGTCGTCCCCGCCGCCGGCAGCCGAGTTTGGAGGACTGCCGTCCCCCGAGTTGCCTGGAATGGCCGCCGCGGCGCCCGCCGCGGCGCTCGCGCTCGCCGGTTGCCCATCATTGGCGTCCATCCCAAAATCGATCAAATCCTAGAAGGCACTCCGTGTTTGCTGCTCCTCAAAGCTGCTATCTCTGCTACTCCTCTCCTCTCAAATGCACTTGCTGCTTGTCTCTCGCCCAGCGAGAGCACAAAAACTTTCTGCCACCAGGGCTGTCTCTACTTTTCTTCGATCCCCGCTTTTCCGAATTCCAACACGCCTCCACAAACCACAGATTCAAATACGTACTGAATCTTCACGGTTTCTGGAAACCACAGAAGAATCAGGGTACTCTGTAGGAAGTTGCTAGCGGAACTGCTTTTTTGTAGCTCGATTTAATCTCAATTTCACATCCAGATTCATTCGCGTTCAAGAATAATACATGGCCACCATTGCTCTCGTTTTCGATGAAACGTTCTTGGCCGGTCCACTCTACGATCAACCACGTATCATTACTATTCCATGGTTGTCCGTGCTGCTGTGTACGAATGGTGGTTCGATGAATGAAGTGAATCACCAGATCTATCTGCCAAAAAAAATGTGGAAACGAATCTCTACAGCTCACCGGGACATTGTGTTTTACTCTGACGACATCATCTGTGCATGTGAGGTTCTGAATCGAGCCTCATCCGACCAAAAGTCACGAATTCATCGGTCTGTAAGTTTAAGCCCCCGGGAATATGTCCCACAGGCCAACATGCCCCTCCTAACTAACGCATTTTATTCGGCTCAAGGGTATGTTTTGCGTGTTCTCTCCCTCTGTCTCTCCCTCTGTCTACTCGGCGGTGTGCGACGTGGTATGTATGTAGTTTGTGTGGGTAGGGGTGAAGGGGTATAAACGGGCACACACGCCGTGCGTGCGGGTAAACAGCTTACATTACTAGATCGGGAGGTGGAATATTTTTTTCAGGGTACTCGTCGGTACCGATTTTTTTGGCGGTACCAATTTTGGCGGTACTGCAATACGGCGGGATTTTTAGGCGGGAAGCGGTTTTCGTTTTTTTGGCCGGACCGCTTTCGGCGGTTCCCGGTACCGCATTTTTTGGCGGTACTCTCGTCGGCGGTTCGCAGTATGGTGGGACCGCCTTCGGCGGTTCCCGGTACCGCATTTTTTGGCGGTACTCTCGTCGGCGGTTCGCAGTATGGTGGGACCGCCTTCGGCGGTTCCCGGTACCGCATTTTTTGGCGGGACCGTCGGCGGCGGTTTGAAGTATGGCGGTACCGCCTTCGGCGGTTCACAATGTGGCGGTACTGCCTCCGGCGGTTCCCGGTTATACGAAATTCGGCGGTACTGGGTAAAACTTACCACGCCGTCGCCGGAAATGGCGGTACCTTCGGCCCTTACGTCTATACTTGCACTATATTGCACATTTTTGTGGCGGCTGAACGAGCGGCAAGCCGTTTCTCCGTCGTCTCTCTTCTCTTTCCTATTGTTCCTGACAGAAAAATGACAAATGACAATTGTTCCCAAATTGGACCTGAACGAACAACGCCATTGCCACGAAAGCGTATAAACGACAAAAAAGCAAATAAAACAAAAAAGCAACAACAGAGCGGAAAAAAACAATGAGACAAAAGAAAACAAAACAAAACAGAAGTGTACCGCGATGAAGCGATGGCTGACAACACAACCAGCAAAACAAACACAACCTTCATCACCAGCTCTGGCACAGTCACACAGCCAGTAGTACTCTGCACTTTCGGCTACCCTAGTCTAGAGGGAGATATCGATCGGCTTGTTTGCTCTCTCCTCCTGCGCAGCCGCGGACTTCGCGGCATTCTTGGTGGCCATTTCTCGTGCCCGCGATACAGCAGCGTCGAACGCGCGAACCTCGTCGAGCATGCGCCTGTTGAGCCGGATGAGCATCATGCGCTCGACCCTGTGCGGAAGCATGTTGCAGCGAAGGTTACCGATGAGGTGAGCTAGCGCTGAAAAATTGCGCTCGGCCTGGCAGCTGGTGGCCTCGATCCCAAGGTGCAACCGAGCGATAAACGCCAGGTACGGCATGTCCGCCGGAGACGTGACCTGCCCAGTCGCCGCGCGCACGCTGTCAGTGCCTCGCCGGTTCCAAAATCCAATAAGGTTGAAGCCATCGACGTCGAGCTGCGGTTGCTCCGCCAAGTACACCAACATCTCTCGCTCGATCAAGACGCGCCGACCCGTAACGCCAGCCTGAGGATTGGCCGTCCCGCTGGCGCGCACCGGCCGCCCCCGCCACACGTGCAGCGCGCCGCTCGTCCAATCTTGAATTAGGCTCCCTCTTCTTGCGAGCAGGTTCCGTGGTGTCGACGTTGGCCGCCGCTGGTGCCGGCGCCGGCGTGACCGTGTCGAACCCCTCCGCGAAGTGGCCGATGAATGCCTTCAAGTCCGCTTCGGCTGGTGCCTTCAGGGCCGAAGAGCCGTTCCCGACTTGGTCGGGGTCGCAACCTTTCCGCCTCGGATCCAGCAGCACGGACAATTCACTCCACCCTCTGCAGCGCCTTCCCCACTCCCTTCTCTTCCAACACCTCCAGCATAACTTGGACCACGTCCTGTGCTTCTTGGGTGAGGTCAGTCACCTGGGTGTCCTCCGTGGAGATATCGACCAGAGAGGCCTGGTGCTGCTGCTCCTCCTCCTCGGCGAGGATGAGGCCCGGTGCCTGTGGGGGCGGCGTGACCATGGCGTTCTCCACTCGGATTGGGTGAGAGTCCTCCTTCAACATCTCCATCACCTCGTGAACGATGAACGTCGCCTGGCTGATGTGGGTGTCGGCGGCGCCTTGCATGCGGATCGTGGCCTCGGAGACGGTGTCCAGGAGGCTGCACACCTCGTTTGTGACGGTCCACTCGTGGGCAGTCAACTTGCGTTTCAGCTGTTTGTGCTGGGGGTTCTGCTGGGCAAGTCGCCGGAAGTACTCGTTGATCGCCTTATTCAAGATCAGAAGGCGAACCATCATCCTGAACTGGCTAGTCCACCTGTTGGGAGGGGGGGAGTGGGGGGG